TTTTAAAATCTAAAAAATCTAAAATATAATTAGAAAATTATCGAGTTCCAACAAAATAAATAATTATTATCTTTATAAAAAATTATATTATTAAACCAAATATAAATTACTTCGTTATTGTACATAAATTAAATTATAAAAAAATTGGATTAAAAAATTGCAAAAAAAATGAGGAATTTCAAATGGTTAATTTGATACTAATATCGATATATTTTTGTCAAATTTTTATGATATCGTCAAACATATATTTTATTCAAAAATAAAAATATCACCGTTTTCTCAAAATCACATAAAGTCATATTATAACATCGACTGAGATAAAGAATAAAATGAAATATTAAAAACACGATGTATCTCTCTGCATTGCGCAAGTACGCTTCTAGTATATATATATGTGTGTGTTTTGTGGATTCCATGTTCGTATTTTGAATATTAAAATTGCAAGACATTCTTAATACCGATTGTACGTTGTTACCCACTTGCCACTATACATATAAATATCCATTTAAAGACATATATTAAATCAAACATTTATTGTATCAAAATTAAATGTGGCACATCTAACATGCCACAAAATTCATTAAATTCCTATTTCAATATTAAATATCCTTTTTTTAACTTATATTTCAGTATCGTTGAAAAATTATCAGATATATTTATTTCTACAATATACGTCTGAACTTTCACCTGCATTATTTGACTTGTACTTTTTCTTGTGTCATGAGACCACCATGAGTAAATGATGGCGGGTCGAGCCAACGGATTTTGGGTGGGACGATGGAGCTCCTTTAATACCCGACATATAATTTTTTCACAAGGTGAATACAAACATACGTCTTTATGAACAAAATTTCACATATTATGTAATTAAGGGAAGATTTTATTCATTTATGAACAAAAAGCAACAAATTATCCAATGACTTAATCATTTCAAACATTAAAGTCCGGGTATTTTTAGACTTTTTCTTATTTAAAATAAAAAACCAACGATATATCATATATATTATATATTTTTAATTAAATTTAGGGATCGTTTACCAAACGCTTATCCGGGTAAACGTTACCAAATCACATTACCTTACCGGATGAATATGATAAGGATCAATAAATCTTACCCGGTAAGAGGGAGACAAGGACCGAAAGTCTTACCCGGTAAGTGAGGGCGACGACTCTTACTATGGTAAGCGCTTATTGGATCAATTGTTGCATATAATGTCATTTTGGTGGACTAAAGTCTTACTCGATAAATAAGTGATAGTGTTAAATTTTACCGACAAACACTAATTGGATAAGTATTTGATAAACGGATATTTATATCAAATACAGAAAGTCATAAATATTTTATAAGAAACAAAAAGGTGAATCTGAAAAGAAGTACAGATTCATGTGTGATGTGTGTGTATTTATATCACAGCTTGATGGGTATGGTTTGAAGACTTGACCAATGGCTGTGGCCATTTTTGGGAGTCCTTCAACCCAATGAGTGGCTTTTACCACATTTGGACATACACACTTTATGCTTTTTTTTTCTTTTTTTTTTTTAATCAAAACCCTTTTTTATTAACAAATTTAAATATGTAATTTTGGTCTTCTTTATATATATATATATTTAGATTTTAGGATCACGTGAAACCAACATGTTTTTATGAAACTCGTGAGACCACTTTTTTACACTTAAAACTTCACTGGAAAATGTTGTGAGGGTAACCTTCAAGGTATTTTTGTTGTGAACGTTCGGCCTTTTTTACCTTCACAGCGTTTTGCTGTGAAATTTCAAGTGTAAAAAGTAATTTTACGAAAACAAGTTAGTCTCACGTGAAACTATCTATGTATATGTATGTATATATATATATATATATGTATGTATATATATATATATATATATGTATGTATATATATATATATATATATAATATAAAAAAAATACAGTTTGGTTAGTTTTGTGAAACAATATGAAATGTTGCGGTTTTAGCTTACAAAATTTTCAAATGACATGATACAGATTTGTTAGATGAACATTTAAAAATACCATTTTAGCTCAGCTCCAACACTATTTTGCAAAAGTTATTCAAGCTTAAGTAGATTTCAAATCCAGTATTAAATTTACAATTCGAGCTCCAATATCCTGATGCTGAACTCGACTTGTTTACTAAATTGACTTTTTGCACAGAATGTACAATGTCAAAATTACAATGTATATTCATATATGAATAATCACAAATTCATGAACACAATCACTTCCTCTAATTCAGTAGGGATGCTTTCATCTAGTGATTAACTAACCCCCTTGCAGCAAGCTTTCATATATATATATATATATATATATATATACACATTATGAATATAATGTATCTTCATGTGTGAATATACATACAGATAAGAATATAATATGTCGTAACTTGTGATTTTTATTAATTGTGCATATCTTGGCTTTCTATGCCTTGAGCACATCGAACACTAAAAATGTTGTCAAAGGTAGTAAACTCGAGACATGAAAGAAGAAAACAAGAATATAACTTCACTTAATATTACTCAAAGATTCTAAGAACACCCATAAAACCGAATCCATGGTTTGATATCAAGATAAACTCGTGGTACCTAAAAGTACCACACTTTCCGTGTTCGAGTCCTCAAAATTTACAGCCGTGAAAGTTTTACATACAAACAAACAATAACACAAAGAATCTGCAAATTCAGCTTCTCTAACAAGCAAGTTTTCACGTCGTACTCATTCTGAATGTACAAAATCACTATAATCCAGAATTTGGGTTGTTTCCGGCAAGGATAAGCGAGATTTCCAGACCACGGCTGAACGCCTGGTTAAACATTAGTCGGGTTTGGAACGTTGAGATGAAAGGGAACCATGAACATAGGGCAATGGGGATAAAGATAAGCATTCCCATCCCAGCATCATATAACCGACCAAGAGATCGTACTGATTTCCATAATCCAATCTTTTTCAACACCGGTCTCCATGCCACACAGATCTGGAACAAAATGGTATATTTCAGTTCATTTCTACCCATAAAAAGAATACGAGACCAAACCAACCACCACAATTTTCTCAGAAAATTTAAAAGGAAAACGTACCGAAAGTAATCCCCAACCAGTGGGTACGAATGCTAAGATGGACGCAAATATGTCAGTAATAGTAAGATCGGTAATGGCAACAGCAACCGCTATACCAGCAAGTGCAAGCATGAAGGCAACGCCTTGTACAAAACGCAAGATCAGTTGAAAATTCACCGATATTTTCTGGCTGAACGTAAAAATCTGTACAAATAAAACAGCAAGCAACCCAAGTAAGAAATAATACATCACGGCATAGCGTTTTAAGATTAAATTTTAAACTTGTGCACCTTAAAAAGGAAAATAAGCCCCACGAGCACCAGCCATGAAAATCCGTAAACCTGCATAAACATGTATTACTAGCACTTTAGCGATAGCCATGCTTTTCGCCCAGATACATAAAATTAGAAGGTCCATCGGGCAAATGGCTGCAACTTCATAGGAAATTAAAACAAGCCCTTCTTTGGTTAATCATTCTAACAGAGCCTATACAAGCCAGCCACTGCTCAAACTTCAGGCAAACCTGTCAGGTTGGCTTGTCTAGCTATCTGAGCCATGCTAAGGCCTTTTATAGCTCAGGACACTTCAGCGAACCTAAGTGAGCCAAGCTATACAAGCCACAATTTATACAATTCTTTAACCCTATCAAACTGTCTCTTGGGAACTTCGAATTTTAACTTTTCTAAAGAGGGTTCAAATGTAACTTTATCTAAAATATTTTTTTAATTTTATACAAGCACATGCAAACCAAACCTGTACAACCCGAGTCAAGGCTAGAGTGTACAACCCCCTGTATGAGGCCAAGCTTTTTGCAAGCCGAGCCCAAGCAAGACTTTTTCAAGCCTGTCGAGCTTGAAATACGAAAGTATATTACACAAGTATGATCCAAACAAGCATCTATATATTATAAGTTGTCAAAATACACACAACAATAAGCAAACGGATGAAAAAACACCAATTATTAGGAGGAAAAAAAAGAACATTTTGATTTCAACCCAACTAGGAATTTGCCTAAATTATGCAAATAGGTTCTTACCGATAGTGACGTTTTTGATCCTTGTACATCCAGTTTGTAAATGACACCATATTGGAAAATAAAAAACCGCAGGCTCAAAATGGTTTCCATAACCCTTCCACCAAGTGTTCGGATATGAGACTGCAAGGGAAAAAAATGTAAGCCTTCCTCCAAGTGTTTGAAAATGAAAAAACCCTAGTCAACCTAGCAACGCTAGAACATGCAAGAAAATTAGAAGAATTTGTATAATAGAAAATCATCACGATAAATAATATGGAAAACTGGAAACACATTTTCCATGCAGGAAAGTGGTTTAAGATCCCACTGTTCAGGCCATTTCCTCCGTTCACCATTATGCAGGTGCCATCTTCGTGATTCCTCGGTGCAGGTAATGGAACCCACAACCACATGTGTTCTATATCATATAATATAATACGTAGGGCATAGACAAAATTGAAAAATGGCGAAAGCTAGGAGGGTACATTCGTACCAGTTCTTCATCCCACCATGCTTCCCAGCTTTCTTCTCCTTTAACACCAATTCCACCCCTATAAAAGAGCCAATTTGTCCAATCTCGAAAATCCTCTACTGTCCTAAAGGATCGAACAAGAAGGTAAACATATCAGGTGGGAACAACATAAGCTGGCGTATAATTTCAAATTGAAAAACTTACTTCTGCCACTCAAAACCAGATGGATTGAACATATATGGAGCAAAAAGCCATGAAATTGCCATGAACCAACTGCTAACACTAAGAAGAATGTAGCCCACTGCACCAGCTTCATTGAACCCATATGAAACGAACACCACTAATAGTAGAACAACTTCCATTCTGTTTCAATAAATACACAACCTCATAAGTGTGTGAGAAAGGGAATATGTGTGTGTGTGTGTGTGTGAGAGAGAGAGAGAGAGAGAGAAGAGAGACCCTTTGACAAAATGACTGCGTGAATAAAGCCTGTAATTCTCGGAAAATTTGATGTGGCGCACAACAAAGCCTCGACCAGTTGCATGATACTGTTTTGGAATCAACATTAGTTGGATTACAGTGACAGAACAGAGCAAGAAATAAAGAAAAAGTAAGAACAAACCTTTGCACCACCATGAAGAATGGTTCGGCCAAAGTAATGTGTTCTGGTGCCCAAAGAAAATGTGAAGAAGACGGTACAAAGCTGAAACTGCATGGTGATAAAACTAACAACAGCCTGCAACACCATTCAAGATTTCAAAAGCAAGAAGTTAACCACATGAAATTACTAGGGTACAACAACAGGGTTAATCAACAAAAAGACAAAAGTATTATCAGGAATTGACAAACAAGTAAATAATGATGAAGGAGGTCGATATTTGTTTTACATAGACCAAAGAAAACATTCTAGTGAGATGCCAAATAGTTAGGGTCTGAAATCTAAGAGATCCTAGGGTTGAGGAGCAATTATGGAAAACCCTATTTTCTTCTCAGTTATCCCCAATACTTTCGTCCTACATAACTTTTTTTTATCATCAAGCAACATCGCATCCCATTGAAAATTACATTTAGAGATAAAAGTATATGTATATAAACAACAATCAGCATCAAAAAAACATACCCTAAAAAATCCCTGCTCTAAGATGAATCCCAAAACCATCGGTATAGCCGTAAATACACCAATCTGAAACAGAAACTGTGTATTTAAAGCTGTATTTAGAGCAGTGTTGTGCAACACATCAGCTCTAGTTTGAATATCTTCACCAACTCCAGACAATGCCTGAAACAATAAAATAAAATGATCTCAAAAGAAGGTAGGGAACTCTAACGAGAAGCTATATAAGCAAAGTTTAGAACTTACCAAATATGTTTTTCCGTAGAGAAATATGTACACTGTAATCACAGTTAACTGCACACAAATCAGAGAAGTTGTTAAAGGAGATGGAGCTGTTTTCAAACAAAATTCAAACAGAACCATTCATCATTCTGACTTAACGCCTTCTTTTCGCTTCTCGCCAGAGTTATTTCACAATGAATTGCCATGGTAAGGAAGAAGAGGAGAACAGGAACACTGGGAGAGCATGCTATTTTTTAATACATATATAACAAAGAAGGTAACTCGTCATTGGAGTTTACATAATATGTTAGCATGCATATACCTTTATCAAACAATCATGCATCTATTTAAGTAAGATGGAAGTATATTTACTCCCATCTATCCAACTTTTTTGCGTAGACATTCCTTTTATGAGAGCATGCTCAGTGAATACCCATCCACGTAAAAGAGGATGCATGAATCAACTATTGCCACAGCCATTGGGAGTTTCAATGTGATTTATGAAAGCGGACCGAGTGCCATGGTGATATGGAACACTAGAAGTTTTCAGTGCAATTTTCCCTGTTTGATTTTGACTCACATAGATAGGTGAGTTATTCAATTGACTGCATAAGTACACATATATTACATAAATATAAACGTGCAACTGGATATAAAAATCAAGAATATAGACTAATCTTTTTAACATATGATCTATGTTTGTCGATCCATACTAAATATGACAACTAACTTGGCTCATAGTCTAACGAGAATGTTAGACTATCAGTCAAATATCTATAATGACCCTCAATTATATCAAAATAGAATTCTTTTGACCAAAGCAACATTACTAGTATTTTGTAACAAATGTGAAGGGACAAAAAGTAAATCTGGATTAAAACCTTACCTCAAAAGAAATTGTTCCATTTATATTGGAATCAGAAAAGAAAACCATTGCATTTATTATATAAGAATGGAGGGAGTAAGTGAATATATTAATAATATAAATATATCTACAATTTATAAGCTCAAAGAAAAACTATAGATATTATCAAAACCAAACTCATGTCGAGTGGTTCTCGAGCTTACTCAACATGAGTTCAAGTCTTCTAACATGTTCAAGCACAATTTCTTAGTTGATCTAGACTCAAATAACTTACTGGAATCAAATCGAATTCAAGTTCTGCAAGATTAATTAATTGCAAGCGTAAAATAGCATAAATTAATAGCAAAGGTGCATACCATAGTACAGAAGTAGTATCCGACGGTGGTAAAGTAGAATGAAAGCATCCGGAAGAAATCAAACAGCTGCCCAAGTCTGTATATATCCCTACTAAGAACCTGCTCACCATTCCCTCCGGCCACTTTTCCTTCAAACAGAGCAATCTGATTGAGCCCAACATCTCGTCCCTTGCCAACCTACACAACATATCAACCAAGTACATGATAAGCTAGAGTGTTTGCTTACCGAAGACTTCTTTTGAAACTAAACAAAAACTCCTCTGTGTTTTGATTTCAGGAGGGAAAGGAGTATATAACAGATATAATGCCTGGATGTATTCATGATGAGTGATGTTTCCTTGACGTAAAGTTGAATTGAAACCTGCATTTTAAATTTCAAAATGTAGTGAGATATGGAAAGAAGTATGGTTTAATAAAGGTGATATTCCACCATGTGGAAGATGACTATAAAACCATATTATCAAGAAAGAGAGACGAAAAAAAGAAAAAAAGATATACCTGCATAAATATCTTCACTAATGTTGATCACACGAGAAGCTTTGCTGATGCCACCCCGGGTTATATGGAACACTCTATCAAACACATCAGGATGACCATAATGCATGCGAACCCTGAATATAGTTTAAAGTAACACCATGATGACATTAACCACACATAGCTTCTGGAAACGAGAAGATATTGCTTGCATAGAAAAGCTGCAAGAACACATACTTTAGAGGACTTGCAAGCACACGCTGCCCAAGAGTTACGAAACTAGTTTCTTGATTGGACATAAAGGATGCTAACGAAGAGACACTGCATGAATAGTTCAAAAAAGTGATGATGGCTGTATGAGTAAGTGTGTGTTAGGAAAACATTATTATAGTTTATACCTTCCCGTAAATACATGCTCTCTTACACCAAGAATGGTAGCAGGACGGATACCATGATAAGCATGGAATTCTTCAAGGAGATTTCTCATCTTTAATGCTTCCTCAAAATAATTATCCTGAAGAATAAGCAAACAAAAGCTAAAATGTAGAATAAAAGCATACTTAAAAACAACACTGAAATTGATATTAAATTTTGATTTTCATATTAGTAAATGTGCTATATAGTCAGTACTTTGTGAATGGAAAGAAAGCATACAAAGAGCACATTAGCACAGAAGTTCCCATGAGATCATCATCACATAAAGCTAGAAAGTGCATACCTGATTCATATCAATTGTCTGCACAGCATTTCCACGAGTAAAGACAATCGCATGATTTTGATTTTCAGGTTTTCCCTCACCAAGTTTGGGATTCCCAGGCAATTTTATAGAATAGACTTCCTGCATAACATTTACTTCGAATTAAGTATTTAACAAACCCAAAGCTCATGCTCAACTAATCTGGTACACATTAACGAAACAGTAAAACTGTAGTAAATAATAAAATTATAGAAATCATCCATAGGAGAATAAGAAAAAAACGACAGGAGCTATCAACCTTGTCTTTCCCATTGATGTCTCCCTTCACAAGTTTAGAGTAGAACTCTTTGTGCACTTTACCATCAGTTAAGGTCTCCACCTCATCAATGAAAGCAACTCGAAGTGCTTCGTTTCTGAAACGGAAACCCACAATCAGTTTTTTGACAGAATCACATCAGCAATAATACTAGCACATGCAAAAACTTCTATAAACACATTTTTAATCACAGTAAATAGGTGCCCCTGATCGATTTTCAGAGCATACCAAGTTCTACTCTGCTGTACCTCCCATATGGTTCACCTATAGTAGGCGGACTAAGAAATATGTGGGAGGGGCTGTTTTTGTTACTTTCCGTAAATAAAGGGGCATACTTTGTAATAAGCAAATTGACTAAAGGGTCGGTTGGGAAATATCTTTTTCTTAGTGCCTTTATGTGGAGCGGGAAGGGGAATTATGGGGTATTCAGATATTTTGTAAATCGGACGAGAGTCCTCTGGGAGAGATCATGGCCTCTCGAAAGCCATAGAAGCAATACAATCATACGACCATACTTACACAATTCTTTTCTGTAATTTCTGTTCATCTCGGTTTATAGCAAATTCGTATCAGAGCGGCTACATCCAGGGACGATGACGACCAGAAGCGTAACCAATCAAGTGGACGATCTGGAGAGCAGCGTTGGTTCAATTGAAAAAGGGATGCAGTTACTTATGCAACAGATGGAGCGAATTAGCAAGCAAGAGGATGCGGCGAGTAAGGTGCCAATACCTCCTGATTCCGATGAGGAAGGAACGCCTGGATCGGGAAGGAAATCGAGGCGTCATCATGAGGACAACAATTTGTCCCGTTTCTTGGCCATCAAGGGGAGAAAACTGGAAATTTCCGTGTTCAATGGGAAGGATCCCGATGGATGGATCCTAAAGGCTGAGAGGTATTTTACACTAAATCGATTGAGTCAGGAGGAGAAAATTGATGTATCATTTATTTCGTATGAAGGAGATGCAATGAGATGGTTTCAATGGGAAAACAAGAGGCATCCGATCACTAGATGAGAGGACATGAAACTACTCCTACTGCGTCAATTTAGATCCATGGCCTGGCTCTTTGTGTGAGCAATTCCTGGCGTTGAAACAGGAAGATTCGATCTTCGAGTATCGACGCAAATTTGTCGAATTAGCTGCACCTCTGGATGGAATACCGAAAGAAGTTCTCTAAGCCAATTTATTAATGGATTGGAGAATACAATCAAGGCTGAAATAAGGCTGATTAATCCGATCACTCTTAATGAAGCAATGGAGATCGCTTCGAAGATCGAGATTAAGAACCAGGTGCTAAGCCGTGGAAAGTATTCTGGTTTTACAAAAAAATTACAGGCTCACCCGTGGAAAGTAAGAATGTCACGGCCGTTGGGGCAAGTGCGATTCAAGGAACTATGAAAACTGGATTGGATTTTAGAAGATTGTCTAATGAAGAAGTGCAACACCGGAGGGCTTTGGGGTTGTGTTATCGCTGTGATGAGAAATTCTCTCAGGGACATAAGTGTAAAGAGGACAACCTAGAGAAAGGGAATGCAGAAGAGGTAGAAGCCGATCTGGGTGCGGTGGACATGCTCGAAATCAGTAAGAAAGTAGAGGTACACTTGAATTCTGTAGTTGAAATAACCAATATTAAGACTATGAAAATGATGGGAGAAATTGGGGATCAGAAGGTAGTAATACTCATTGATAGTGGGGCTTCCCACAACTTTATATCTAAAACAGTGGTTGAGAAATTAAAGCTACCTGTTGAGGCAACCAAGAATTACTGTATAACGATGGGCACTGGTAGTCAGACAAAAGGAGAGGGAGTTTGTAGGGGAATTGTGTTGGTCACTCAGGGGTTGGAAGTAAGGGATGACTTCTTGCCCATTCAGCTGGGTAACAGTGATGCAATTTTGGGAATACAATAGTTAGATACGCTCGGTGCTACTTATACAAATTGGAAACAACAGGTCATGAAGTTCTCTGTTCAGGGTCGATCATTTACATTGAAGGGAGATCCCTCGTTGGGGAGATCGATGGTTTCATTAAAAGCCATGGGAAAGGTGATTCAACAGAAGGGCCATGGGATTCTGGTCGAACTGGGGCTGTTTGAGGCTGATGACAGAAAGGTTCGTGGTGGGTATAAAGCAGAATTGGAATCTGTCTTGGAAAAATATGCTTTCATTTTTGACATGCCAAAAGGATTGCCACCTGTTAGGGGAAAGGAGCACAGTATAGTGTTGAAAGAGGGGGCCAGACCGGTGAACGTGCGACCCTATAGGTACCCACACTACCAAAAGGATGAGATTGAGAAGCTAGTAACAGAGATGCTAGAGCCAGGGATCATACAGCACAGTGTTAGTCCTTTTTCCAGTCCAGTGTTACTGGTTAAAAAGAAAGATGGCAGCTGGAGATTTTGTGTTGATTACAAGGCATTTATCAAGTGCACAGTGACGGATAAATTTCCGATCCCGGTCATTGATGAGTTACTAGATGAATTACATGGGGCGAGGGTGTTTTCTAAACTTGATCTGAAGTTAGGGTACCACCAAATCCGTATGCAATCTACCGATATTCAAAAAAACAGCCTTCCGCACTCACCATGGGCATTACGAATTCTTGGTAATGCCCTTTGGTTTGGTTAATGCGCCAGCTACTTTTCAGAGCCTAATGAACAAGGTTTTTAAAGAACATTTACGAAAGTTTGTTTTAGTCTTCTTTGATGATATTTTGGTGTACAGCAAGTCTATTGAGGAGCACAAACAACACTTACAGTTGGTATTCGAGATCCTAAAACAGTATCAGCTTTTCGCAAACCAAAAGAAATGCGAGTTTGGTAAGGAAAGGCTGGGTTACTTGGGGCACATCATCTCGGGTGACGGGGTTGAGATGGATGACTCGAAAGTAAAAGCTATGTTGGATTGGCCACCTCCCACATCTATTACAGAATTCAGGGGATTCCTTGGGTTATTAGGCTACTACAGAAAATTCATCAAGGGATATGGTATAATAGTTGGACCATTGACAGAGTTATTGAAGAAAAACCAGTTTGCGTGGGGAGAACAGGTGCAGGATGCTTTTCACTTACTTAAAAAAGCATTAGCATCAGCTCCGGTGCTGAAGTTACCTAATTTCGATCAGGAATTCGTGATTAAAAAAACAGATGCTTTTGGGTTTAGGTTGGGGGCTGTATTAATGTAAAACAAACAACCTATAGCCTATTTCAGCCAAGGTTTGGGCACATGGGCTAAGCAAAAACCGATATAACAAAAAGAGCTTATGGCTATTGTGTTAGTTGTTCGAAAGTGGAGACCCTATCTCTTAGGCAAACACTTTGTGGTTCAAAGTGATCAACAAAGTCTGAAGGTTCTATTGGAAGTTGGAACGTGTGGTTGAACCAGAATATCAGAAGTGGGTTAGCAAATTACTTGGATATGATTTCTCCATTGTATACAAGACGGGTAGCTCAAACCGGGCAGCTGATGCGTTATCATGAAAGACAGACTTTGAAGACTCTATCGAGTGTGCTAATTTGGTGGGGGGGCCTCAATGGAGGCAGTGAGACACCCTCAAACACAAAATTGAGGAAGATGAATTCCTAAAAAAGATAACAGTAGACTAAGAACAGGTAACCTGGAGTGCTCTAGGGTTTTGAATTACAGAATGGATTGCTACTATATAAAAGCCTATTGGTCATCCCTAGGAAGTCTAAGATGATTCCTTTAATTTTTGATGAATTTCATGGGTCTCCGACCGGGGGACAGGATGGGATTGATCGATCATACCAAAGGATTGCGTCGGAAGTATTCAGGGTGGGGCTGCGAAAGGATATTGCAGCTATGGTGAGCAGTTGCAAGATATGCCAATGAAACAAGTGTATGAGTGGTTGACCCACGGGTCTATTACAACCATTGGAATTACCTTGGAAGGTATGGGGCGAGGTTTCAATGGACTTCATTGAGGTGTTGCCAAAATCTTACGGGATGGATTCGATTTTGGTTGTGGTGGACCATCTCAGTAAATACGCCCATTTTGTGGGACTTAAACACCCCTATACAGCTCAGTCGGTTGCAGAAATATATGCCAAAGAGGTCATTCGATTACATGGGATGCCACAATCCATCGTGTCTGACAGAGATAAAATCTTCCAGAGTGTTCTGGAAAGAACTCTTTAAATTGCAAGGCACACACTTGAAGTTCAGTACTGCTTATCATCCGCAATCGGATGGTCAAACAGAAGTGGTGAATAAGGGTTTAGAGCAATATTTGAGGTGTTGGGTGTCGAACCGGCCAAAGCTGTGGCACAAACAGGCTACTTCCAAGCTGCAGGCAGTGGACCAAGAACTGGGGCAACGGGAGGAAATACTGGATGAGGCCCATATGTGCTTACTTAAGGCCCAATGTCATATGAAGCAACAGGAGGATCTGGGCCGAAAAGACAAGGTCTTTACAATCGGAGACTGGGTTTTCTTAAAGTTACGCCCGTATAGACAGAAGTTATTGATCCGGGGTAATAACCCAAAGCTTGCAGCGCGATTCTACGGACCATATAAGATACTGGAAAGGATTGGTTTGGTAGCCTATAAACTGGAGCTGCTGGACAGCGTCGCAATTCATCCGGTTTTTCACATTTCTGAATTACGACCAGCAATTGGTGACTGTATTTCTGCCAAAGAAATCCCTCCTCAGTTTACTGAAGACTTGGAGTTGAGAGCAGAACCAGAGGATATACTGGACATTCGTCCATTACCAAATGCAGACCCCGGCATGTTGGAGGTACTTGTAAAATGGAAAGGTATGTCCAAGTTCGAGGCATCCTGGGAAGTTTTAGAGGCATTGCTGCAACAATTTCCATCTGCACACCTTGAGGACAAGGTGAGACTCTTTTGGGAGGGTATTGTTGTACCTCCCATATGGTTCACCTATAGTAGGCGGACTAAGAAATAGGTGGGAGGGGATGCTTTTTGTTACTTTCCATAAATAAGGGGGTATACTTTGTAATAAGCAAATTGACTAAAGGGACGGTTGGGAAATATCTTTTTCTTAGTGCCTTTATGTGGAGCGGGAAGGGAAATTATGGGGTATTCAGATATTTTGTAAATCGGACGAGTCCTCTGGGAGAGATCATGGCCTCTCGAAAGCCATAGAAGCAATACAATCATACGACCATACTTACACAAATTTTTTTCTGTAATTTCTGTTCATCTTGGTTTATAGCATACTCACATGAAAATAGCATTTTATTCTCATAAACTAGATTTCGTCCCACATCCTGGAATATAATGCAATCTTATAATCACTCATTTTCAGATACTATAAACTTGGTAGACGGTGTCTTTATCTTTTCCATAGGTTTTTCATCAGTGTATGATGTATCTGATTGCTGAAGGACATCTAAACTAAACGCCGATACTCCCTCTTATCAGTCGAAACATATGAGAAGCAATCTCTCTATCCCTCTACCTCTTCCTCTCTATTATGAGATTCCTTTGGTTTATATAAAGTTCGGGGGAGAGAGAAAAACTTTATGTAACCCATATTAATATGGAACTATAGAAATGTTAACACATTTGACATTTCTTCATGTTTTTCTGTAGGGCAAATTGCATGAAGAAATAACGTGCTTTAACTTGATTCCTATTTTGGGTAACGTACTTTCAAAGCTTCCATTCTGGTACCTAAGATGTAAAGTTTTAAACATTTAAGTACTCGGGTAACCGGTTGAAGCATTAACTCTTTCTTCTAATAAACCACAATACATAAAAACTAATTTTAGATTAAGATATCCATGTCAGCAAATAATACTGAGTTGGATACCACATCACTCGCCGCATTAGCATGGTAACCGGTTAATGCTTCAACCGGTTACCCGGGTACTTAAATGTTTAAAACTTTACATCTTAGGTACCAAAATGGAAGTTTTGAAAGTACGTTACCCAAAATAGGAATGAAGTTAAAGTATGTTACTTATTAATGCAATTTCCCCTTTTCTATATATATATAGCATTCTATATGCTCCCACTAAGTGTCAGCCACGTAAACGGGACAAAAATTAAAAAGAAAATTGGAGGCCGATTAAGGCTAGGTACTTTACAAGGATAATAAATTTCCTGAGACCATCAACTGCAAGTGTTTCATTCTTTTTATACCCACTTGCCTGTTTCACAAACACATCAACAATCAAATGATAGCACCAGAGAGAATGAGTTAAGTCACCACTCACCATATCAAGCACAATGGGTTTTGTTTCAAGGCCGAGTAAACATAAACAGGACTTGTTTATCTAGGGGCTAGGGCACAGTGACTATAAAAGCATACACAACGACACAGCAAATATACATATCTCACCTTTGCAATAACAATGCAATATCAGCAGCCTCGGGCTTTTGCTCTTCTTTCTGTCTCCCATATATTTGGCAAGTGACAACATATGTAAATTTTAGGTCTGCGTGAGCTCTTGCTTCAGGAGAAAACTCAAATCCTTTAATATCAGTTGCTTCAGTAGTGGGAACAGCCGCTTCGATATCTAGCATAGCCATGTAAAATATTAGAACATGACTCATGCAATTGAAGCCAAAATGACAAATAGCAACAATACAAATATTCTGGAAACTCAAACCTCCAACAGTCATTCTTTCCAAATAAGCCTGAAGCATTAGAGCCTTTCGGTAGTACATCATTCCTCGCACTGGATATCATTGAACAAAAGGTCAATGATGCAAGAAACAGCAACAAAGTTTGAACTTTACAGTTTTATGTAACATGGATATCCCAACTCAATAGATGCTGTTTTATACACAACAATAATAGAGCTACTGGCTATTCTCTTTCACCCTAAATCAGCTGTAAATCAAATGCAAGACCTGATCATTAGAAAATAATTTAAACACAAGCTCACATAAAATAAATTCAAGCAATCATCACCAAACATAATAAGTAGTAGCCTATAGGCTATATGTATGCATTGCTGAGACCGGAAAGAAACGAGTATGAATCCCTGAGAAAATTTAGAAAGAAAAAACATACCGGTTCTCGCTAATGTTTGTCCACGATATGATGCCCAAAACCGAAGTTCGAGGTTCTCATCATCATTATCAATAAGATCTGCCTCGTGCGTATTTTCATCACGGCCGATCCGAGCAAGAAAGTTTTTCCATTCATCTACAAAATCCAAAAGGGGGTTCAAGCAGACTCATAGTTTCATTGGATCAAAAGAATCGACAAGTTCAAGTCCTGGTGGCCAAGGACAATATAAGCGTGCCATTTCCATCTTTAAAATAGCCACATGACACCACACTGGTGGTCCCAAATGATCTGGTTCCTACAGTTTCATGGTGCTTAGGAGAACACACCTACTATCCCCATCTTATTGGAGTTTGAAAGCCAAAATACCTGGATAGATCTTCTGAAGGTAAAACAAGATCGAAATGCCGTCCTCATTTTTCTTAAGAAGCTCTTTCATACTATAAAGAACAGTCTCTGAATAATATGGCGTGAAAACACTGGACAAATTCAAAACTTAAATCAGTACCCAACGGATGGTTTTATATGAAGTCAAAAACTTAAATCAGAACCAATGAATGGTCACCCATGTGAGGTTTAACCTGAAAGATAACATTTCACGGACAGGCTTGGTTCTGGGCATCGACATGAAAAGTGAATTTGTGAAGAATTGCAACCTACGTCTAGCCTCTAGGTTTTTCGGGACATTTACCGCAGAATCCTTGATAGTGAAAAGCGAGTGTAGCCTCCGAATTTGTGACCTCTTTTGACAAAGAATATTTCAATGTTTAAACACCAATATGAGAAATATATAAGAAAGGTCAACTAACAAAAGTCTTGCTATTACAAGAGACAACATACCAACTCAGGATCTCTAGGCCACTTCAACTTTGAAAACAGGCGACCTTCCTTCCTTGCTTTTAGCAACATATTCCAAGTAGCATAATTTTCTCTGAAGAATGAATCAAAAGTTCCATCAAGTATGTGTTTAAGAACTGAATTAAAACTTAAGAGCACATAACTTCTCATTGGACACACACCTCATGTTGACGTTAAAAAAATCAAGCTGGATAACATCATAAAGATCGAGAGCAGCATTAACAGCACCACTCTCCAGTTCAGGCGTTCCAACTTCTTTCTGTGCATGTAGCATGCAAACCACATTATTATGGTCAAATGAGAGGAAAAAAACACCGCTTAAAGAAACAAAATCAGCCAATAAAAATACTATAAATTGGCAAAACAATACCAAAGGAAAACAAAATTCAGGTATACTGAATATAAGATACACTGAAGTGAAACCCTCATGAATGCAATGTTTCAGCACGATGGAAACTTCAATAGTTCAAATATAAAGTCAATAAGAGCTACTTGTGTATATTGACAGTACAAGGAACACAAATTGGTAGAGAAGCAGATTGTATAACCAGAGACTCTGTTTAGCTTTCGTGTAAGTAGCAATATGCATATAGAAGAGATGTTAGAGTTAAGATAAGGAATTCATAAACCCAATAGTTCTTTAGGGATTAAAATGTTATCAGCCACATGATTTACAGATATCTTACCTTTCTAAGTTAATATCCATTCAGGATGAAAAAGATGGTGCTAATTTCAAATCGTGATCAATAAATCTACATCAACCAAAGACCATTTGGATTAGAAGTAGTGGGTCCTGAGTACCTAACGATATGAATCCTTGTTTATAACTCTTCTATTATGAATAAGAGAAACATTTCGGAAAATACAAATTTACACCATCAGCACCACAAGTGCAAGAACATAGATAGCTTAAAATGAACAAAGACATACCAGAATTCCCGTAAGTGCAGTAACTTTTTGAATAACAAGTGCCAGTTTTTTTAGTTGAAAGTCTATGTGGATGCTCCTTTTCACCATACTTCCTCGAATGTCTTCATATATTCTTTCAACCCTGCAGAAGACAAACAGGTAAAAAGGTGAACAATGGCGCTAACATGACGAAATGAACAATGCTTAATGAACTAACAATTTATACAATCTAAACACTTCACTGCGCACTTACCACAACTTCCCGTCATCATCGGCTAAAATTGACGTCAAAATTAGCTTGATGGTGTAAAAACACTCCTCAACTGCATATTTCATGTAATCGTCCCTTGAGATCCTATCCCACAGCTCCTCTTGTGAGTCACTCTCTCCGGCAATATCTTTGGCAAGGAATATCTAAATATAACAAAAAGAAAAAGCACATTTACGAAGAAACTCACAAAAGTAAAGAAAAAGAACCAAAATGGAAGTCCAAGACTAAAGCATTTGAATAACCTTGCTGGCTAAGAGAAAAAGAGGCCACTGAACCATAGGAACAGTCCCAGAATTTGTAGGCATTAGAAGCAATTCCATTTCCCTGAAAACAAGATGCGTGCGGATAAAAAATTATCATTCAACCCAACAAGTCCTATTACAGCAAGTAAGACACTCACAAATTAGTAATATAATCTTCTTCTCGCAGATTCTTCACGATCTCATTCCAGAAGGGTGAAAATCGAGCAGCATCAAACTTATTTTTCTGCAGAACCTTTGGACAGCATAAAAGAGAGTGGTTAAAACTCACATTTTACTCAAGTACCACAAGCATGAGGAATCGAAAAGGAAATATATGTATACATGTATATAGCAGATGTAGTTTTAGTCTCAACAAACTGACACAGATCATGTCATTTCTAACTTCATAGATTTTAACTTGAAAAGTTTTCAAGAGATAACAAAGAACAATAGAAACTGGAACAATAAAGTACTTCTTAATTAAACTGCAACTGGCCAACATAATTAATAAAATATCACGATCACATACAGAGAAGCCATAACAAAACTTTGGTCATATAAATGCATAAATGTCTAAGCATATAATTAACGACTGGCACAAAATTCCAAGACTTGGAATTCTGTTCAGAGAAACTAATAGAGATCAAAGAGTATTGCATGCAATTTACTAGGGTGCACCCCTATTTGATCTTATAAAGCCTTTCCCAAGAAAGGATAAAAGTGAAGGATTGTGACTGACATTGCAGGAAAACATAAAAACTAGCTACAACTATGAAAACGTGATGGGTTCAACTCATAATTACGGATCACGAACTAGTGCGCAACAAAAGGCATGTCTGTGTCATAAATTGCAGTCTATATTGTCTCATGAGTTGAAGCAAGTGATCTTGTGATTAACCAAAGGAGAAGATGTGTCAATGGAGAAAAAATTGTACAATGCCAATTACAAGATACAAGGCAGAAATGCTTCTACATCTTTCAAGGCCATTTACTGAATGCTCCGAGGTTGAGTTCTTTGTGGTGCATCAGGGCTACGGTTTTGACTAGAGATGGGCAAAAAGACCAATCCATTCGGTCCAGGCCGGACTGC